ATTTCCAAGGAAAGGAGATAACTTAGACTTGTCAGTGAAGAGTTTTGTAAAACCAGAATTAATTTTGAGCATAGTACAGGATATCTGTATAACCAATAGTTATTACCTTTATGCTTTGAAATTGAGATAGAAAAATTAGGATATAATGAGGACTTTGAGAAAAAGATTAAAAATTATGGGATGATCACAGCCTAGGAAAAGTCTATTAACGTTTGTAGCGGTAGATAAATCTAAACCTGTTTACAGGCCTATCATTTTTTCAAAATGTGAAAATCTTTTTCTTTGAGTTTCTAACCTCCCCAGCTAAGACTTTCCCCATTGTAAATATAAACCTGTCTAAGTTTTATGTTAAAACTTAGACAGGTTTAAAAAAGAACTACTAAAAAACTACTAAAAAAAGATACTAAACTGTCTTGATAGATTATGCTATATTTGCACATTTAACATCTTTTTATGTAAATATACCTTAAATTCCACAGCGCTGGCCATTAATTACAGTAATAGCTTTTTTTTTTTTTTACGTGCACTTCACTCTAATAAATAAAGATGAATTAATACAAAATTACCTTGTAACATCCTTGCAGTGGTTTATTGAGGTTTTTCTTTCACCCAGTGGATCTAGAAAAACAGTTTTTTTGTCTCCTGGCAAGATCACCTAAATATAGTGTCAAAAATTAATAAAGATACTGTAATACTATAGTTATAGTTTTTCAGCAATAAAATGCAGACTGCATCAGTATGTACACACACACAACCATCCACACAGATGCATACACTATGTTTAAATATACATACATACATACATATAAAACCCAATACCATCAAGTCTTAAAAATTAAAAAATAATTACCACCAGCATCCAATGGTGACCCGCATTGACAATGCCCACGATTAACTTGTATAGCTGTGGGACTATCTGTAAGATAATTAAATAAAAAATGCCAGGTGATTAATGCATATTGTGATGTATTAATTTGTACTTTAACCTGAGATCATATTTTTTAATACCTTTACTTTGGGTTTCAGTCCATCCCAAATGCGGGTCATTTCAAAAGTGTCCACGGCACATGCCCTGTCTGCGTTGTTGTCATTATATTTTTTAATAAGCAGGGACAGATATGCATTGATAACCTGAAATTTAAAACGAAAGGTTCAAAAACATATTTAGAATTAACAAAGATAATGCAAATTTTGTGTGCCTGACT